GCAGAATGCTTTTTAACTTTAAATATTTTGAAAAAAACTGTAACGAAAATAAAATAGAGTTTCCTCAAAGTTTAGTAGACACATTAGGAATAAAATTCATTACAGATGATTTTCATCATTTTTAATATATATATATATTTATTACTGGCTATTTTTATTTTATATTCAATGTAATAATTTATCTTTTTAATTAAAAATTATAATAATAATAATTACATACTAATTAATTTTATGTTTATTTAAAAATTAAAAACCTAATGTATGAGTTTTATTTTGAATTTTATTCACTGTAAGAGGTACGTAAACACGATTGTATTTATTGTAGATAATGAGTCTATTAAAAAAATTACAAGCACAGTCAAACGTTTTGAAGGAAAAGAGCTTACACATGGTTACACAATAATCGTCTTGTTAGAAGATAATAGAAAAATTTGTTTACCGAAGACGATATACTTGACTGAAACTGAAATAGAAGATTATAATAATAATAGTTTAGAAATTTACTCTTTAATTTTTCATGGTAAACTTGGTAAAGCATTCAACTTTACTATACAATAAGATTATATTTATATTGTTTCGTGTTAAAATAAAATGTATACAATACAATTATATTTTTTTTTATAAAATAAAAAAAAGAAACTCATACTCAAGGTTATTTTTTATTATATATATATACATATATGATTGAATATTTATAAATAATAAAAAGAAAATAATTACAATATAATCATGGTTTACATTTCTTATTGATTGAAAGTATGTTAAGTAGTATGTGTATAATAATATAGATGTTATAAAAAAGTCATTTCATTTTTTACAGTTATATAAAAAAAAATTTTTTTTAAAAATGAATCATTTACAAACATTATGTGGATGTGGAATGAGTTTTCCAAATACACAACTACTTATGCAACACTGTTCAATCAATAAAAATCACAGACCTTCGATACTACATTATACATCTAGTGTCCCCATCGATAAACGAACATTAAGCAATAATACTTTTAAAAATAATAGACTGACTAAGAGGCAAAGAATGAATATGTGTACAATAACATCATCTACAAGTGGTGCTGGTGTTGGTTTGGTTAATGACGGTTTAATACAAAATAATGGTTTTGTAAAAGTGAACTCGGCTTTCGAAGATAGAGTTCAAATATTTTTTATTAAAAACAATTCCGATATTGATAATATTACAGAGTATATAGATTATATTCAGGATGATATAAAACAATTATTGAAGGACGTTACATCATCTTGTATAATTAAATTTAATGTTGTGTTGGAAACAACTTATTACCATAGTGTTCACGATGAAGTCAAAGACGTTGCGTTTAAAACAAGTAACAAGAGAATAGATAACAATACAGACTTTTCTAAAATAATTGAATCGATGGTTTTAAAACTTGAAGACGAAAAAGATAAAATGGAAATCAAAAACTCTGGTTGGTCATTAATGTTTGTCGATGGTCTTCAAATACGTGTACATAAATACAATCCTTTAACTGGTGGCAACTATATTAAATTACCGTCTTCCATCGACAATAGAAAAGCTGTAATAAATGTTCAGAATTACAACGATAACATGTGTTTTAAATGGGCTGTATTAAGTAAATACATAACTGGTAAAAAAAACCATCAACGTTTAGATTATCATTACACTCTTGTTGAGCGTGAAAAAAATTTTAATTTTAATAATATTGATTTTCCAACACCAATTAATCAAATTTCTCGCTTCGAACGTAACAACCCGACATTGTCAATAAATGTTTTTGCTTTAGATTAAAAAAACACAGTGTTTCCCCTCCGGCTGTCATGGAGTCAGTTTTAAAACGGGTAAACGACAAGTTGAGTGTAATATCTAAAGTTAGTCAAATACATGAACCCTTTAGTTATTGTATTTATGTTGTGGCTGACGAAAATATCCTACCAGCCAATATTC